GCAGCAAAAGAAAGGGAAGAAGCGGAAGGGGCAGCGGGGGGGCGGACGGGGGCAGCGGCGCGGATGAGGGCGGCGCGGCGGGGGAGGCGGAGGTGGAGCCGGGGCCGCTGCTGACCGACTACTTTGCCAGCAGGGCGCTGCGGCGGCTGATCCTTGCGTCGACAGAGGAGGGCCCCGGCGGCGACGGCGCACGGGCGTTTGTGCGCGCGCTGTGGGGCGGCGCCCTGCGCGGGCGCTGCCAGCACTGGGCCGGCGGGCACGCGGACAAGGTGCTCGCCGCGCTGGTGGTCTGCGGCGAGCGGGACGTGGCGGCAGAGGCGTCGGAGGAGCTGCGGCCGCTAGTCGAAGGGGACCTAGACAGCTGGGTCACCAAGCACGGCGGCAGCGGGCCGCCGGGCGCCGAGGGCGGCGGCGCGGCGGCGGCGGTGGCTGCGAAGCGGAAGGCCGGCGCGGCGGGGCGGAAGCCCGCAGCCAAGGAGGGCGGCGGCAGTGCTGCAGCGCCAGCCAATGGTGCGGCGGCAAAGGGAAGCGGCAAGGCAGAGCAGCAGCCAGCGGCCAAGAAGGCGCGGAGAAAAAAGGGCTGATGCCGTCGCCATCGAAAAATGTAACAAACAACCAGACCCATGTGATTCGCGTGTGTTGGCGCTCGCTGGGTTGACTTGCGGCTTGGTTTGACTGAATCTTGGCGTGGGGCGGTGAATCAGTCAAGCTTCCACAAAATCCCGGGTGTCCTTTGTATCAAGACAATCTATCACTTTGACAGCCCACTGGTGCTTGGGATCAGCAGGTTTGCACGCAGGATGTCCACGCTGACAAGGACAGCCATGGCGCCACGGCGGCACCAGATCCCTCCGCATCACTCAACCTCACTTGAGCATGTCAGTTGGGTTGCATAGAAGCAGGTCAGCAACGACTAGCTCTGCCCTCCCGCGTGCTTGCTTGCAATAACGGCGCTGTTACATGCGACGGGATGGTCAGCCGGGAGCGCGCCGACAGAGCGCCGCACAATGTTGGAGTCATGCTGCCCCTGTTTGTCCTCCAAATGTGGTCATTACATTTGCAGACTTTCAAGGTCGCCAACTCGACACAGGCTACTGAGCTCTACCAAACATGCAGCCAAGTGGCTCAAAGAATGCGTGAATGCACAAAGCGGCCCGCCAGAACTAATACAATGCAAATGTGGCTGCTGAAGGCAAATTGAATTATAAACCAGCAAACACGCTCACAGGCAAGCATCCGAAGGGCGACCTCGTCCCAGTTGACGCCAGCATTTGCAGTCAAAGACACATGGGAGCCCAGAGACAATGCGGCATCCTGCAGCGACACGGCTGCGCGCGCCGCGTGTGCTATTGAATCGCGCAGCAAGTTTGGGCAATCGTCCCGGGCGACTCCTGGCTGGCGGGCGCGCTGGCCTGCCCCGGGCGCTGTCCGGGCTCGGGCGGGCGGCGACCCGGCAGCTGCGGGGGGCGGATGAGGACGCGGCGGGCGGCACTGCGCGCGTTGCGGCTGGTCAAGGATATACAAGTGATCCGAGCTTGCAGCCGGGCCGTCCCCACCAACCGGCTCATGGGCGCGCACACCATTCCCGGGTCGGCACTATCTTTCTAGCTCACCGCCGGCGCCGCCCCCGGGATCGGGCAGGTCAGCCACTCGGGGCGGTTCGCGAGGGCCCAGCCGCGGATGTTATTGAAGGTGGTGCGCATCTCGTCCACGGGGCCCACGCATATAAAGGCGTGGTACGTGAAGCTCATGCCGGGGGTCACAGCGAAGCGTATGGTAGGCGCGAAATAGCTGCGCTCCGCGGGTGGGCGGCAATTGCGGTTCCGCGGACCAGTCGTTAGGGGAAGGGTGTGTAAGGCGTCGGATTGGCAGGCAGGGGTGGGGGGTGCAGCACCCCCACCCCGTGATCACAGTGTGATCAAGGCTGTTTCATCTTCACTCTGCGCAGCTGCGATGGTATGAGCCCCTGGGATCACTCTTGCAGCCCACCAGCAGTCGCAGCATTCGCAGCTGTTGTCGTCGTCGCCGACACGGTATGACGTCATCGTGCTGGGGGGGGGGGATGTGGGAGAGGGAGGCTGGGTCGGTAGCAGTGCGGCAGGGGTCGGGTGCCGATGATTCAGACCGACTCCACGTCAACTGCTGAGGAGGATGGGAGTGGAGCAGGTTTGCAGGGCAAACACGCAAGTCGAGGCTGCAGCCGTTGGCTGCTCAAGCACCATGCCCGTGATGCGGCAGACAATTGGGAGGTTCAGATTGCCTAGCCAGCCCTCATGCCAGTATGCCCAGCCCTACGACATCCTCCCCAAAAATCACCCATGCCACCCCCTCTGGGCCGCTCACTTGCACCACGGCACCCAGACCCCCACGCCCTCGCGTGTGCTGGGGTCAACCCACGCGGCCCAGTTCTCGTCCATCTTCTCATCGACGTTTGGAAATCCGGGGGTCTTGGCCTGCGGGGCGGGTCAAGGGCGGGTGTCGGTGTGTCACGCACATGTCATGTTTCGTGTTAGGCGGGGAGAGGGGCTTGGGCAGAGCAGGCGCTCGACAAGGGGGCCTCATATTGCGAAGCATACTTGAGGTTCAGTTCAGCTGTCAATGCAGCCAAGGCATGACCCCACCAGGCCAAGCAACAGCCTGGTCAAACAGGCAGCTCAACCGCGTTGCAATCCACTCGCATTCGCAGTCGCGGGTGCAGCTGATGCTCTTGCCCTGCCCCTCAAAAACATGCCGCGCCTGCAAGATGCCGCCTGTCCAGGGCTTGTCCCCGTTGTAGAAGACCAGCTGCGACAGCCGCCGCACCACAAACACCGCGGGCAGCTCCTGGATGCGCGGGGGGTGCTCTGTCGCGCCGGTGTATTCAAATGAGTGCTCCTTCGAGGGCCGGGTGGGGTGGGGCGCGGGGGTCGGGGTCGGGGTCGGGGACGCTGGGAGTGCATGGCGCAGGCGTGCATGCACCAGTGTTTCGCTTCAGCCGGGCCTCGTGCACCATTTCTATTGCCTGTGGAGAGCTTGTGGACTGTCTGTGAAACAACCCCATGCCTGCCCAATCCTGTACAAAGGTGATGACACCCTTCCTCGCTCAGGTCCCCCTGCCCCCACCCCAGGGAATGGTGCCTGCGCCATTGCAGCCGCCACAACCCGCACCAGGTGGATGTGGTCCGCCTGCAGCGTTATGTTGGCACTCATGGTGACGTCATCGACCAGCTGCTGCCCCGCCCAGTTGCGCGGGTTGACCCGCGTCCGCAGGTTGTTGTTGGAGGGGCGCGAGCACTCCAGCACGCGCGCCGGCTGGTTCTGCCAGCTGCCGCCCTGCACCCTGCGCGGGCGTGCCCGCGAGCCAATGGGACGGCTCAATTCAAGGCCAATCGCGAGCCCTGACCACGGTGGCCGTATGCACGCCGCGCTGCAGCACTCCAGGCTCCGGCGACCGCGCAGCCCGGCGGCGGGCCCGCCCCCGCATGGGCACTGGCAGCGGCGCATGCAGTGGTGCATCCAGTGGCGCATTCAGCGGCGCATGCATTGACGCATGCAGCGGTCGGGCCTGCGGCGATGCCGCCGCGCATGCAGCAGCGCATACAGCGCCGGGGCCGGCAACGCACGAGCGGCGCTCACGGATTCCAGCGCCACGGCTTGCCATTCCAGTCGCTGCCGTCTTCGATCCCGTAGTATGACTGCTGGAGGAACCGGCCGCAGTCGAACGCGTTCAGCAGGTTCTCACCAGACCCGCCGCGCCCCAGCCAGCTGACCGCGCCGCCGCTGCATGGCGAGGTGCGTGACGCGAGGCGTGTGTGTATGCAGTGTGTGTGTGGGGGGGGCCTGCGAGCTGCCAGGCATCTAGGACATGCCCCTTCATCTTGTCTGCACACTGGTTCTGCCACGCCGGTCGGGCTGCTCGAGCCAGGTGCGACCCCGCAAGGTAGGCTGGGTGATTACTCTCTGCCCTGTTACTGCGCAGCCCACCGGTCAGGATCGACGCCTATCTTCAGCTTTGAATTTTCAATGATCAGCACCATTAGGCTGCAGTAGGTCCGGATGTGCGTTTTTGCACTATGATGAGAACGGGAAAGTAGGTCGGCAGGGATGCAGCAATGCGGTAGTGTGAACGAGAGCGGCGGAGAAGGTGTGCGTCGGGCCACCAAGATAGCAGCGCCGCTGCTGGGTTGCACCGGGCCCTGACAGTGGAAATTCAATCCTTGCGAATGGTATTGCATTTAATCAGTCGCTTGGATGCTATATAGGGCGTGCAGGGCAGGCTTCACGACAGGCACTGGGCAGCGCTCCCACAGCAGCACCCAACCGTCAGGGTCGGCATCAACCGTGCCGGCAGCCTGGGCTGCTCCTACCTTCCAAAGTAGAAATTGCTGCAATTGACGACAATCAGTCACCCGCAGACTCGCAAGGTTCTGCGTTTCGTTTCTGGTGTTTTGTACCGTAGCGGGGTGAATTGCGGGGCTGCTGAGGCGCTGTGCAGCCATCATGTTGCACAACGCATCTGATATGAACGTATGGTAGCAACTACGCATTATAGACCTGTCTCAATCGTGATCTGGGGGGTTACATCACATCTGACAGTCACGCAGCCCTCTTGGACCCAATCCGTTAGTCTCTGCTGCGTCTGCATCTGAAGGGCGTACCGGTGAATTTTCTGCCCTTGTGAACACACCTGACTGCACCACCCCGCACTGAATTTTGAGAACTGACGGTTACGGCGCCAAGCAGTGTGTTATTGTCCTCATCGCAGGCGTTGCCTGTTTGTGCTGCTCAGTGATACCGTATTGTACATGCACAACGTAGCGTGCACAGGACGGCGAGGCCAGCCAAGTGCAGTCGGCTGGGTGCGAGCTGCCCAGATACTGTAGGCTGCAGGAGTGCCTGGTGACATGAGTCAGTGAGAGGGGTGATGCTGCCCGCCGTCTGCATTGGACCCATGTATAACTGCTGCCACTGCCATTGTCAAAAGCCGATCAGCTATGCGCCTGCTGTCTTACATCTCGTACTCCATATTGTCAGGCCTTCATCAGTGAACCAAACGAAACGAACAACGGTGCCCACCTGCGATCTCGGTGTTCTGCATTTTTGCTATGGCGTCGCGCACATCACTTGTGGACCTACCACCTGGCGCCTTGGCGCTCGTGTGCTCGTACCTCAGCACAGAGGAGCGCGCGGCCGCGCGTGCCACCTGCTCGCGCCTGCGGGGCGCCGCCAACGCCTCCGTCACAACAGTCAGGGTTGCGCTGTCGACGTCAGATACACCATGCATGGCTGCAGTCCACGCGTCAACGCTCCCCACGCGCTTCCCAGCCGCGTCGTGCGTCGTGCTGAGCGGCACTGGCAACATTCTGCAGCTCAAAGCGGCCCTTGAGCATATGCAGCAGCTTCCCGCCGGCAGCTGGCCGGGCATCACGTCTCTGCAGCTCGATTTACAGATCTTGGGCCTGTGGCCCACGCAGCTGCTTGACGCCGCCGTCGCGGCGACGGCGCGGCTGTGCCCCCACCTACAGAGCACGGAGGGGCTGCCGCTCGCGCCGGCGCCGCTGCGAGCGCTCGCGGCGGCGGCTGGCAGCTTGCGGCGGCTCAAGGCCATGATGCTCGACGACTTTTCACATTACAAGGACGACAGCCCGGACACCGAGGCCGCAGAAGCAGCGGCGGCGGCAGCGGCCGCCGCCGCGCAGCGCCGCGCCGTCTGCGGGGCGCTGTCGGCCCTCTCCGGCCTCACAGCCCTCGTCTTGTACTCTAACCACTCCCCCTGTCGCGCGGCGGAGGCGGATTTGGAGGGCCTCTGCGCCGCCCTGCCGCTGCTGCCCCGCCTGGCGCACCTGGACGCGCCGCTGTCCCTCGGGGCCAGCCCCCCGCTGGCGGGCTGCCCGGCGCTGGTCGACCTGCGGCTGTCTGCCTCCGAAACTTACGACACGCCGCAAGGCGCGCTGCAGGGGCTGGAGCCGGCGCTGGGCGTCACGAGCCTCGCCATCCTGAGCCCCTGGTGGGTGGCCGGGCAGCTTCTGAGGTGGCGCGAGCCTGGCTGTGGGGCCAGTGATGTGGGCATGCAGGGGCCACCGTGCTGCGCAGCTGAAACAAATGGGTCACAGCGAGGGCGGGCCGTCAACCGTTGCGTGCTCCTGCTGCGTTTAATTGTCAGGTATCTTTGCTTTGTCACGCGTTGGGATGTCTCTCTATAGCGGCCAGAGGGCCGCGCTCCGCCAATCTTGACATATTCGAGGTGCTCTCAGCCAGCCTCATTCCACCACCGCGCCCGCCGCCGCAGCCGAGGGTCAGAGTACAGGGTGCGCGCCGCCGACCTTGAGGCCATAGCGTCGGCGTTCCCCAACCTAGAGTCCCTCGACCTCGAAACCTGCATCATTACCCTGGACGGCGGCGGCTGCCGCGCCGTGCTGCCGCGGCTGCGGCGGCTGCGGGGGTTCTGCAGCTTTGGGCTGCTGGAGGGCGGCGCCCTCAGGGCGTTGGCGCCGGCGCTCGAGGCCCTCACCCTCGGCAGCACGTACGATCTGGGATCCTCTGACGGCTGGGAGGGCCACGACACGCTGAGGGAGCTGGAGATCGACGGGTCACCCTACTTTTTGTACCCTGGCCGGGATCAGGGCCTGCGGCTCAATTTGAATGGGAACATGATGGGATGGTATGCGCCGGACCGCACCTGCCTGGTAGACCTGGGTGCCCTGCGGAAGCTGCCCGCGCTGGGCTCCCTGCGCGTGGGACTTGCGGCCAACCTCTCAAACGACGTCTCGCCCGCCGAGCTGGCGCGCGGCGCGGCGAGCCTGCGTGCGTGGGCGGAGGGGTGGACGCGGCTGCGGTCGCTCTCCATCGGGGGCTCGGACATCGCCGGGGCCTATTTCGACGCGGGCGGCGCGCTGCCGGTGCTCGCGGAGCGGCTGGGGCCGCACCTCAAGCACCTGACCCTCGGCCCCTGCAGCTTCGTGCGCGGCGCGTCCGAATTTGCGTCGATGCACGACTGCCTGGCCGCCTGCCTGCCGCGCTTTGTCGCGTTGGAGAGCCTCGCCATCGTGTTTCACTACGTTACCCTGCAGTTTGTCCCCGGGGCAAGCACGATGGCCCGGCTCGAAGACACCTATAGCGAGCTGATGCACGGCTTGGCTGCGGCCTTGGCGAAGCCCCGGTGCTTGTGGCCCCCGCGCCTGAGCGCCGTGAGAGTGCAGCTCCCCATGGGCAACTCCCGCGCCGGCGTGCTGCTGAGCTTCCTGGGCTCCCCGCCGTGGATGCGTGTTGAGGGGTACCTGGACGGCCGCACCTCGGACGGCTGCAGGGTGTGATTGTGTCCCAACCTCTGTGTTGTCAGATCTGTGGGTGTTGATCTCGTATGACATGGCTTGTTTCTTGTGTGTGCACCATTGTGTTTTCATCCGTGCTGGTGAGTGGAATGAAGGTGGTCATCAGGGAACACCAGGATTGTGACGGCTCCAATGTACTGTAACATGATTTTATCTCATGTGTGGGATTTTGTGTTGTGTAGGGCTGTGAGCTGCGCGCAAGACAAGCGGATGCTGCATGCGGATGGCGTCACCGCAGTCAAACAAGCATGCTACTGCATGCGGCCACATGCTAGTGTGTGAGCTGTGGCAAGAGCGACCTGCTGACAGTGAGCGGTTTTGAAAGGGGATGGCCGCGGTCCCTGCTGCACGCAGGTGTAGAGGGCGTTGCACCAGCGACTGCACGAGTGCCTGTGATGCCTTCCATGAACGGCAGCCGCGTGAAAGCGGCTACTCCTGGCAAGTGGTGGCTGCCTTGCCCGTGGAAGGTGTGCGCAATTCATGCTCCCTGTTGGTCGCACCAATTTTAGGTCTTGGTGCCGTGTAAGCATGGGTAAGACTGGCTGAAGTGGCCTGCCGCCCGTAATGGCCAGGGGCGGCCTGCAACACTATGACACTCAAGACAACACGCTGAGGTCAGCGTTGACTAACAGGGCGCATCTGAGCTACGGGCGCTGGCCCCCAGATACGAACCATCACGTCGCGAATACCGGTATTACGCTCGGATAGGAAAGTAACAATCGTGTTCCGATATTCATAATTGCTCACCTCACCATATCGTGAACTCAGCGAAATTGTCCGAGAACTTTGCAGTGAGTTTTGGCCATGGCCCCGCCTCTGCCACTTCTAGAGTTGCCACCCGGTGCTCTTGCGCTCATATGCTCGCACCTGAGTGCGGGGCAGCGGGCTGCCACACGCGCGACCTGCTCGCGCCTGCGGCGCGCGGCCAACGCTGCTGTCCAGACGGTCGTGCTGGCGCTGTCGCCCGCGGACCCGCCAGGCATGCCCGCGGTCCACGCGGCGTCCCTGCCCGTGTGGTTCCCCGCGGCGACGCGCTTGATGCTGCGCGGCGCGGGCAGCGACGAACGCGCGGAGGCAGGCATAGAGCACCTGCGGCACCTGCCGCACGGCTGCTGGGCTGCCATCACTGAGCTCCTGATCGACCACAATCTCTGCCTGTCAGACGAACTGCGCGCCGCGGCGCTTGCGGCGGTAGTGCGCCTGTGTCCCCGGCTGGAGGCCGCCGATGCCCGCGCGGTGCCGCAGCAGCTGCGCGCGCTCGCGCCCGTCGCCGGCAGACTGCGGCGGCTGAGGCTGGGGCTGCCGTCGCCGCCAGTGCCAGCCTTCGTGGCGGGGGCATTCGCCGCGCTGCAGGAGGCTGTGTATGACCCAGACGCAGAGGAAAGACCGCAGCGGCGCGACGTGTGTGCAGCCCTCTCCGCCCTCACAGGGCTGGTTGAGGTGTCACTACCATCCATGCGGCTGTCAAGCATTGACTCGCCCATGCTCATCCTTGGCTGCTACGCAGCACTCCCCAGCCTGCCGTGTCTCGCGCGCGTCGACCTTATAGGCGAGAGTTCCCGCCTGCTGCGGGCTCTAGCGGGATGCGCTGCGCTCAGGCACATCAACATCATCGGCGACTTTCAAAGGATGCCTCCAGGCGACCTGCTGTCGGAGATCGGCGTTGTGACCAGTGTCACCAGCTTTGAACTTTGGGAGGACTGGTAGGTGCAGGGACGCCTGCTCCGGCCCCCAGCGCAGACCGCAGAGCGCGTCAGCGCAGGCGACCTCCCTGCTCACGTTGCGCGCTGCATTAATTGCACATATCTGCATTCCGCGTGAACACGGGCGGCGCTGTGGCCCGCCCGCCGCCAGCCGGTCAACACAGCTGCCGTGAATGCATATGGCTACGCAGGGACGACGCCCCGCATGAGTTGAAGGAAAGCGAGTTCCTGAACATAGCGTCGGCCTTTCCGAACCTCGAGTCCCTCGACCTGGGCCAATGCCTCTTCGGCTGGGATGCCAGCGGCTACTGCGCCGTGCTTCCGCGGCTGCGGCGCCTGCAGGCCGCCTGCTGTTACGGGCTGCTGGAGGGCGGCACGCTCAAGAGGGGGGCGCCGGCGCTCGAGTCCTTGCTCCTTGGCACCACGTTCGAGGTGGACCCGCGGGGCTCTTGGGAGGGCCACGCCTCGCTGCGCGAGCTGGCGCTGGAAGACGTGCCCTACTACCTCCCGCCGCCAAGGGCGCTGGCAGAGGGCGAGGAGAGCAGCGAGTCTGATAGGTGGGACTTGCCAGAGCGCACTCGTCTGGTCGACCTGTGTGCCCTGCAGAAGCTGCCCGCGCTGCGCTCCTTGCGCGTGGGCCTCCGGACAGACCCCTTGTGGAAGCGCGTCGACCGCTCCAGCCTCGACGCCGGCGCAGCCAGCCTCCACGCCTGGGCTGGAGGGTGGACGAGGCTGCGGGAGCTGTCGATCGGAGGCACGGCCCGCGGCGCATCGCCCGGGGTGTGGTTCGATATCGGCGGTGTGCTGCCTGTCCTTGCGGAGCAGCTGGGGCCACACCTGCGCACGCTCGCTGTCGACCCCTGCTCTTTTGTTTGCGGTGCGTCGGAGTTTGAGTCGCTCCCGGCGTGCCTCCGCACCTGCATCCCGCAATTTCGTGTGCTGGAGCGCTTCCTGATTTGCTTCAGCGCAACAGCAGGGTGTGTGTCAATGGAGGGGCGTGTGTCAACATCGCCATTCTCAATGCATACATGCGACTTCAAGGCCACGCCAGAGCTCCTTGAGGGCTTGGTGGCACCCCTAGCAGGGTCCCTGAGGCCGCCGCGCCTGCAGAGCGCCAAGGTGCTGCTGCCCATTGATTTTGAGGACCGCGGCGCGACGCAGGACGAGGCGTGGCTTGCCGCCTTCCTGCGCGCGCTCAATGGGTACCCGGGGCTGCGCGTTGAAACGTACTCAGAATTGTCTAGGGGGCAGAGAAGCAAGCTCACGCCCTGGCTCTATAATGACTGAGGACCATGTGTAATAAATGCCCTGCTGGGATGTGATGCCTGCAGAGAGGTGCGTGCCTCCTGATGATGAATGTTTGATTTCTTGGGTCAGTCCACCTGTTGGCGCTCTGCAGGGCCTGCATTGACTTGCGTACTGGCATACACTGGTGCTTGGCAGGCAAACAATCAACCCCAGGCAGGCGCCTGCGCAGAACCCATCGGTGATAAGTGGTCACGAAGTGCATGCCGACTAGCGCAAAAAACGAGGTCGTCCTTTGCTAACGATTCTTGGCCCGTGCAGGCATACATGTTCAAGTCTATGAAGCCGGGCGGTCCAGCCCCAAAGTGGCTCTATCTGACTCTACAGAGCTGCAGTTGTGTAATGTGGAGGTGTGGCTCAGCGAGCTTGCATTCACCTGCAGCATATGTGGCTCAGTGTCCACTAGTTCAGGGGCTTCAGTGTACCAGATGCAGTGCATTGTGATCAGGTTCATGTGTGTGAGCATGGGTAACCCAAGTTGACAAGAACGGCTGGCAGGAGAGTAGGCCGACAGAGAGTGGAGAAGAACGTTGCAACTTGCAGATACCCAAACTCATAAGTGTTACATAAAATAAAAGTATACCTCACTACCTGTTACATGCTGCCCGATTCGGATTCTTGTGGTTTGTTGTATTCTTTGGCAAGCCTCAAGGACGCACACCAGCACACGATCGATACCATCTCCAGGCTACCGTCATTCAGAGTGTCTCGGGTGATAACAACAAGCTTAAAGGTGGGTATATATTGATTGGGAGCTATGTGATCGCTGATAGGCGTGGTTCCAGCCTCCTCAGGCACCAGGTGTCAGGCGCGGGGTGTTGCTGGGAGCAGCATCTCTCAGCCAATCATATTGTATTGTTTGTTTTTATTACACACTTCGCAACTTTTGCTGTCACACGCTAGTTACCTAGACGGAGGCACCGCCCCACTTGGGGACCCAAGCCATCGATGGCGGCCATTTTGAAGCTTACAGAAGAGGCTCTGGAGCTTGTATGCTCGTTGTTAGATGACCAGCGAGCGCGTGCGGCGCTGCGCCTCGTCTGTGCGCGCCTGCGTCGCGCAGTGAACGCCACCGTCATCAGCGTCGCAGTGCAGCTGTCCGACGGCGTTTCCGTCACCTGCCATGGCATGAACGCCATGCAATCGAGGACGCTGTCAGAGCAGTTCCCTGCAGCTCGCTGTGTGCGGCTCGTTGGCATGGATGCGGCGCAGTCGCCCACGGCGATCGCACAGCTCGAGCAGCTGCCCGCTGGCTGCTGGCGCGGCGTTGCTGAGCTGGACACCGACTTCACCGCCCACCTGTGCCCCCCCGCACTGACCGCCGCCGCCCTCGCCGCCGCTGCGCGCCTGTGCCCTGCGCTCGAGGCGGCGGCCACGCCGCTCGCGCCGGCGCCGCTGCGGGCGCTCGCCGCGGCGGCGGGCAGCTTGCGGCGGCTCGCCGCCCTGGTTGCGGCAGAGCAGCAGGGCAGCTGTTGCGCGGCCCCGCACGATGCCCCGCATGCCATGACGGATGGCGTGTGCAACGCACTGGCCGCCCTCACCGGCCTCGTCAGCCTGGAGCTGCGCCAGCACGCCAGCCCCCCTCTCTCCCCGCACCACATGCCTCACCACCCCGCCTCCCGCGCGAACGCCGCCCTCCTCGGGCTCGCGGCCGCGCTGCCGCGCCTGCGCGCGCTCTCGCGCCTCGACCTGCCGCTTGCCGTCAGCGCGCTGCCGGCGCTCGGCGGCTGCACTGCGCTCGAGGACCTGGCAGTGTCCCTCGACTTTGACAGCCTGGCGGTGGCCGGCGCCCTGCCGAGCCTGGGGGTGGTGGGCAGCGTCACGCGCGTGCGGGTCGCCGACAGCCGGAGGTGCGAGCCGGCCGCTGTTCCGGCCGCTGGGGAGGGGCGCAGCTGCGAGAGCACCTGAATTGCCTGTGGCAAGCTCCTGCCTGGCGCGGGCAGTTGCCCTGTTGGACTTGTGCCTGGCCTCACGCGCTCCCCCTAGATTCAACACAACACTTGGGGAGGGGAGGGGCACATGCGTGGCAGCAATGTATGCCCAGGTGCGCACGCAAACACACGCACATACACGTACACACATGGGCATACGCGCGCACACGCACGCACGCACGCACGCACGCACGCGTGCAGCGCGCGCACGTGCGCGCGCACACACACACACACACACGCTCTCCCTCTCTCCCATTTCTTTCCCTCGGTCATGCAGCAGCATTAGCAGCAGAAATGACGACAACGCATCGTCTGCAACGTCCAGCCCAAATGTTCGGATCAATTACGACGTCGGTGGGCACTCCCCTATCGCGACGCCCCCCACCCCCGGCGCTGTCCTCGAAGACGACCTGGAGGCCATCGCCGCCGCCTTCCCAAACCTCGGATCCCTCGACCTCGCCTGCGACGCCGTCCTGCTGGGCCCCTGCGCCGCGGCGATGACGAGGCTCCGCCGCCTGCGCGCGCGCGCGTCCAAGGGGCTGCTGGCTGGTGACGCGCTTGCGCGGCTGGCGCCGGCGCTGGAAGTGCTGCAGCTGGACGGCACCTACGACCTGCAGCGCCGCGGTGGCGACGGCGGCGGTGGCAGCCGCTGGGAGGGCCACGGCGCGCTGCGGGAGCTCGTCCTGCGCGCGGCGGCGTTCCACCTCTGCAGCTGCCCGCCGCGGGGGTCCGTCACGGCACGGCGCACCGCCACGGCGACGGGGGGCGGCTCAGGGCCCGCGCGCGGCGATGGTGGATGCGGGGGTTGGTCCCATCACGACGAGGAGGTCGACCCCTCCTGTCTACCCTATGATAGGACCCAGGCGGCGGACCTATCCCTTCTGTCGGCGCTGCCGGCGCTGCGCTCGCTGCGCGTCGGCCTCGAGGCGGGCGCCTGTGGCGGCCGCACCGCCGCCGCTGCGGCCGGCGCGGCGCGGCTGCGCGGCTGGGCCAAGG